CCTCGAGTTCAAAATAGTAAAATTTGAACTACCAAAATCTTGTTTGCTTTGATTTCTTTCAATCTTTAATCGCGACTTATTGCGTAATTTTTTGTCATCTATGCAATCTAAAATTCCAGCTGCAACATCAACATCGGTAACTTCATCTACTGCCTCTCCATCTAATATTCCATTCCAGAAACTAGTTGCTTGATTTAGTGTCTTAATCTCATCAATTTGACATTCTTGTAATATGTTGTCAAGCATATTTTCATCAGTTTCATCACTATCATCCAGTAAATTGATGTCATTAAGTGAATCACCGCTAAGATTAAAGTCCATTCCTGAGTTTGAGTTACCCGTATTGCCTTCCGGACTTTTACTGCTACCACGAGTAAAATCGGAAACATACACGGGTTGCAACAGTTCTGTATCTGGCTCTAAATCGGCGTACTTGAAACTATTACTAACGAATAATGCATCATCACAATGAGTATCCCAAAATGAATTTGGTGCAGGTGCAGGTATTTTTCTTTCTTTATTATCGTCATCAATTATTGACTCCGCAGGAACGCGTAATAATTCTATTTCTACAGGGGTTTGTTGTGACCAGTCGACTAGCGGTGTTTGTTCATCGTTAAGTAACGGCACTTTACCAATACTATTATCCAATAACTCATCAGTCGGGGTTTTTGGTCTAAAGTGCAACCAATCTCTTCTGATCTCTGATAAAAGTTCGTTGCATATTTCTAAACGTTGACTTGAACTTGGTGATAAGCTTCCCATATAGTACTCATGATCTTCATTGTGATAGTCACTAGCGAAGCTTTCCAGTACAGGTTCTGTTTTCGTTGGTTGTGTAGTTTCTGTCACATGCCTCTTGTTCTCTAGATTTCTCAAACGTATCACATCAGCCACTTGGTTTAATGAAGGCGAATCATCATCATCATCATTGGATTCCAATTTAATCGATGAATTTACTATAGGATTTATTCCACTTGTTTCATTATTTTCAACTGGTTCCTTCTTAATAGTATGCCTAATGAGATTACTTAGCTGTTTTAAATTAACATTTTCTTCATCGTAAGGTACGTCAACTGACGATTCCACTCGCAGTCGTTGTATTGTGCTTAATGGTTCATTGGAATCATCAGCAGTATCAATCAACTCTTGTTTTATCTCTCTACCTATATCTGCAACTGTGGTATTTTCATTCTTTATCACATTAAATTTGTCGCTTAAGCTAACATTATTATTAATATTACTATTACTATTATTATTGGTGGTTGGGTTGATGCTATTTAGCACAACATTGTTCGTGCGATGGTTTGTCCGTTGCAGTTCTCCTGTTGCGATGCTTTGGTTTACATCCACAACAGTTTCTTCAGCAACGGCAACACCATTTTGATGTTCATACGATATTTTGGGTCGCTTATTACTTAAATTACGATCAACAGCTTCTGCCAAACGATGCAAAATGTGACGAGGTATGGGCTTAAAACTATCAGTTGATTTTTTACTTTCTTTATTACCAACTGAATTATGCTTAAGAATCCTAAATGTCGATCCTTTATTAAGACTGTTTGCATTATTAAGCCAATGCCTTCGGTTACGTTTTCGATGACGTTGTCTTCGTAATAAAAGGGCGGATGTATAATTTTTATCGCGGGTAATATTTTCATAATCTTCATCGATGTCTTCATCAAAATCAGCTTCAATTCCATCGTCTGCATTTGTCTGATCTGCCACTATTGTTTGATATACCTCTTCCGTATTTGGCTCAGTTTTAATGGAAACAGGTGGAACACTTGTATTTGGCGGTTCTTCTTTTACATTTTCATTGGGTAAGTCTATAACAGTTGGAGGCGAGGCGGATACATTAACTCTATTTACGCAGGATGTACTTTCTAATATTGTATAATCGAGTTGTGACCAGACATCATCAAAGTTAGTGGAAACTCGATCAATTATCACACGACCACCACGTCCAAGTCTACGACGTGCGAAACCAATGCAGCGTGGCCTATACATAAAAATCATTTATAGTTAATTGCTTATAATTAATAAAATTTAATATATATATTTATATACTTTGGATATCTTAACGACGTCAAGGTGAAGCGATAACGTGGATCACCAAATCCATGATTATCCTTCGATTCCCACGGCCAATTTCCAAGATGATCTTTAGGCTAAATATTTAAAATAATTAATATTGTTAGTACATTCAAGTCTTCCCAGTAGAATGTAGACATTTCTATAAAGTACCTTATGGTAATTACAAGACTGTTTTCTTCTAAATGCAAATGGAGCTTCCTCTTCGCTTTCAGAACCAGCTTTCTGCTGACCACTGCCGGCAGCGTATTCTTCTTCTTCTGTATCAAGATTTGATTCAATAGCGGCGGGTGACGAACTTTGACGATGTAGGTGATGTAAGTGAGGCAGATGACCGGCTATGGACGAGTTCCCCACTACACCTGACGTTACTGACGAAGGCATCATACCCACGCCAGCTAAATACTGTTGTTGAAGATGTTGCTGCTTATCTCGCGGCAATTTGTGTTTCCGTTTTTTATACTGACGTTTCTCTTTACGAATTCCTGTGCCACTAACATTTATTGAATCTGTATTTTATATAATATATATATTATTTGCAATTTCTTCTTTCACATATTTTAAAAATACTTCATTTTGTAATCAATGACACATACCAATTGCCAGATTTGATGAATTCAGGTACTGTGACGATGAATACAAATGTCCACTGCCCACATTGTTATTAACGTTGGCACTATAACCAGATGTCAGTACATTACCAATTCCACTTGATACAGGGCCTGTCGGTGTAGAACCAGCAGAAGATGAATGATGTGAGTATTGATTCGTATACAACGGTGTAAATGCGGGTCTAAAAATACATTTTTCATTAACGTAAAGAAACCAAATTAACTTGTATTTTTTTTTTTGTTTTTAAATAAAATTAATTATAACATACCGTGTTCTATATGTAGAACTAAACTCTGTCATTAGAGCACCACTAAAATCACGCACCTCTACCCGCTTTTCAAATATCTGTAAGGATAACTGTAGTTCTTCACGCTTTGTTACCTCACGTTTCCTGACCATTTCCAGCAACGTAGTGGCACGTTGAAGATCACGTCTGTGTGTATATTATTTTGATTTTTAATTATTATATATTATTTACATAAAAAATAAACAGTAAACGAACCTTAACTTAAGCATTTTTTCATAGGACACTTCATCATTTTTGCGGTTCTTGCGTGTTTGCATTTTTTCAGTACGACGACGAAATGCTAAGTACGGATTATTGGATGATGCACCCGGACGATTTTCGGTCTTAACAGTGAGTATTAGCGGATGTTGCTATTTTTTAAAGATATAAAGAACACATTTTAAATATAAACTTCAGTAAAACATATAATTTTTTTTTCTTTACCATTTTTAATCTTTTATTTAACCAGTAATCATACACAGCTATGCTGACTTCATCATCTTGCTTGAGGAGTCCTTTAGCTTCACTTAACGTAACAACTGTTTGACCTGAACTCTTTTCCAAACGATCCATCATTTGCTCAAATTTCAATGGACTTAAATCGAGACGCCTATTTTGGTTAACCCAAGCTTCATCGGAACTGTCCATATCATATTCAGGCACATCTTGCTCTAATCCGAGGGCTATTATATATAAATTTATATATAAGTATTTATTAAATAGCAGCTATTTAAGACAAAATCTTACGTTGCATGTGTATCAGCTGACGTGGCATTTTATAGTTGGGAGGATAACTGTTATCATAAAATATTTGGTCACATGTAAAAACTTCAGGTGTTGGTATTATAAGACCAGTACATATTGCTCGTTGTAAATGATGTTCCTATAAAATTCAATATCAAATTTAGATTTCATTTCCTTTATGATAGTTTTATTGACAATCTCTAATAATGCGAATTAACCAACAAGACTAAAAAAAAAATAATCTAATGGAAAAATAGTTTTCTTTACACATTTGAAACAAACTTGAGAATACAAGATAAACTTAATGTTTCGAATACAGTAATTAAAGGAATTAAATTTCTAAATAGTCTTTAAAATATGTATATATTTATTAAAAATGTCGATTTACTTCCTAGAATGGCTGGGTATACATATCAGACTCACTCCTTGAGTTCAAGACCAAGAGCCGTTGAGCATTCCCAAAAGGAACTATACTGGTTAACAATGTGAGTGAAAGGAATTACTTTAACTATCAAGATAGACAATACCTCAAGTCGATACCCGCATCTATATTACAATAAAACAAACTTCTTTAAAATTCTTTATCAAAGACTACAGAAAAACAAATTCTGATGCTTAACCCTTTCAAATCTTTAGATTTCCAAACTTTGAATCAAACTTCACATGGCTTCTAACAGATGGTCTGATATGTTTTTAGTTGAATGCAAAAAGTTACTTCTTTACAGGGATATATTTTCACCTAATTCTAATATAATCTCATCAACGTTTTCTTAACATTATTATACATATGTTATAAAATAATTTCTTAAGACCTTCAAAATACCGCCCAATTTTAAAGATCACTTCTTCATTCTTTCTTTTCTCTTCTTTAACTTCTCTTTTGTTTTTTTTTATCTAATCTCTTGTATCTTATCTATTTTCTTCTTTCTTATATTCTCTTCTCATTTTTAATATTCTTTCTTAAGCCTACTTCTAAGATTTACGAACAGATAGTAGTGACTGGGGATCAGAACTGAATAATACGTCAGTTGCAATTCAAAGTTCAATTAGTATAATTTGATTCTGTTATCATTAACACGTGTTAATGTGCATTAGCTTAATATGGCACGTAATTCCTTCTACTTTGTTTATAGCCCTTATTTTTCCCTTATTAGTTTTCATTTTTTAATACCGCTATATAATATATTCAATGAATGTTTTTCTCTTCAAAATATTTATGTCCAATGTCCTATATATTCTTATTGACAGTCGTCATTGAAAATATTGAAAATTTGTGGTATTATTAGATTAACAAATCTAACACATCAAGATTAACAAATTTTGAATCTGTATAGAAAGGAATCTGTATAGAGGCATTTTAGTTTTAGTTCAGCTCCATTGCGGATATTTTTATCCTCGCGTTATTATCAGATGAAAGAACAAGCAGAATATGCGTTTTACTATCTAAACAGATGGCAGCATTGAGTCTAAAAAACTCGAAAATAAAAATTTTTTCCCGATAAAGATGAAAATATTTCATTTTAAAAGAGAACACAAAAAAATATATAGAAACCTATTTCCAGTAGCATATTTTGCTCACTAGGCACTGAGGGGGAAACCGCAACGTTATAGTGGATCCAATGCGACAGTCATGACTTGGAGGAGGATAGTGGATATTTGATTAAAGAATACAAATTATTCATGGCGTGACATCGTTACGTTCTCTCATCTATTATGAGATGATATTATAGTTCGATACAATATAATAATAGAGACACTATGGTTTACCTAGGAGGACAGAATTACTTATTCATGGCGTGACATCGTAGCGTTCTCTCATCTATTATTTTAGATGATATTATAGTGCTTAACTATTCGCAGAGCACTCGAAGCTGGCTGACCTCACTAATTACTGGACATAGCAACTTCAAGTATCATCTCAAAAAGACAACTCTTGGTGAGGAAGACACTTGCAGACTATGTCTAGAAGAAAAGGAAACAGCGGTGCATATATTGTGCCAATGCCCAGCACTGGCAAGCAGGAGGAAGACTATCTTGGGATACCATTGGGTTGGTGATGACTTGGCAGGAGAAACCTCAAGCTAAATGAGCTGTTTGCATTAACAAATAATGTTGTTATGCGAACGGAAGCCATCCCAGCTTTAACTCAATAACAACATCCGAGAATCGAAAGACGAAAAAGAACCCAAGTAATTTCGTGGTCTACTTCGACTAATCCTTCACTTCAGTGGGGCCACTTGTTGGACAGTGCGCTGTTCCAACGTCCCACCATATATATAGTTCGATTTAATATGTAATAGAGACTATATGCTTCTATGCCTAGGACAGAATTATGTGTACGTACTAAACACACTATACTGTATAAATATATGAGTATAAAAATTGATATTATGAGCGAGAGAAGAACTTTTATAATTAAAATATAATTTGAAATGCAATTTTTATTTAATGAACTCTATGTAAGTTTATAACTTCTAAAAGCAATCTTAACCGCAAAAAAGTGTCTGATTAGTGTTGTATAAATAACTTCTATAGTTCTAAATAAAAGTTAAAGCAGAAGATTGTATCGATAGTAATAAGTCTCAACTGTCTTAATAGATTTATTTCATATAAATATTTTTACCACCAACACACAAGAATTCTACATTAGTTCCTATTAGTTCTAGTATAGATTTAGTATAAATTTAAAGAATTTTTTTAATTTACATTTTACATTTACATTTTATTAACATAATTAATAAAAGAAAAAAAATAAAAAAAATAATATCCCATTTAACGAAGCAATTGCATTCCAAACCAATGCCAACATACAACGCAGAAAAAATAAAACTTTTAATTAAATTTATTTTATTTATTTTTTTTACGATAAAACAATGTTTTAATATTTTTCGATTTAACAAAAGTAAACCAAGAAATGAATGGAATTGAGAGACGAGTTACAGAAGAACAACAAATTTATAGGTCATTGCTATTACGGTAGTCACTATTCATATTGTAAGCATTGGCAACACTAAGAATTGATATTTTTAACCACTACTTCCTCCCCCGTGACAGTATTTTGAAAATTGTGTTCTACTAAAATAAAAATGGAAATAAATCGTGAAAATTTCGTAGTTTCTTAATTAATTGTTAATGATAATTATTAGCTCAAGAGTTCAGGGATAAACTTAATTTCACTTTTGGCGATGAAGCTCCCTCATTAGTGTAGCGGCCATCTTTCGTATAAGGAACGAGTTCATAGGGATTTTTGGAAAAGAATGTTGTTTGCGGAAAACAGTGTATATAAAATATTACCATGCAAACAGTTGATTCTCGTTTAATCCTATATCATTGACAAGGGTTCAACAAAATACATGTCATAAGATATAACAGATGATATATCATGGAAGTATACTATGCGTACTAGCCTAAGCAGACTGTGTTGTTGTTTCATGACATATCAAACTCAACAAAGGTTGTATTTTAAGCGAACTGTGGTATCATAACGAACCATTATTCGTGTTAAGTGGACTCTGTTGTGTAAACCCTCCAGTCCAACTTAACCTATGTATATCTAAACAAACGATTTTTTTCGAAAACCTGCTCATATAGCAACAAAGCTATTAGAACTTATAAGGCTCTAAATGGCAGAGAATAAAGTGCTTTAAGATGAGATCTAGGAATTACTACCGAAACTGGAATCCAAAAGAAACCAAAAAGGTTTCTACAGACACTGAAAAATTAAATGACTTACAACAAATCATAATCTGAATTTATTATTTATAGGGAAATCTTAATATTTGAAATGAAAGCAAATATTAAATTGATAAAATACTGGAGGGTGCTTGTAATACTTTTAAAAAACCCGAACCTAATTAGATGAAAATATGATGGAGAGCGCTAACAAAATTTTTCAAAAAGTAACACTTTCAACATAATTATATTTGTGAAAGAAACCTATCTGTGTAATCAAAACTCAAAATATGAAAGATTTGACGTTTTTGGAACTGCTATATAAAATCAAGGATAAAGTCTTCAATATTATTAATTTGGGCAAAATTAATAGAATTTTTCTTCAATCATATTACCAGAGAAGATGAATTCAATTTTGCGATGACAATTGGACATAAAATAACAATCAGTAAATTAGGTGCCATCTTTACTATTTTTCAGACATAAACCAAGTGATGATGAGAAGATTCAAAAATAATTTGTAAAGATATGGCTTAGTTGATTTCTATTTTTTAACATAACTATGAACATAAGATGGATTCATTGTAATTTAATCGAAATAAAGTATTTTTCAGAAGATTTTGAATTTGCCCGGAAAAACGCATGTCATAATTTTTTGAGACCCTAATTCATATCGTTTACTTTCAAAATAAAAAAATAATTGGACTTGAATATTTGAGGCAACTAATTGGACCTCTTCAACGATGATTTAATGTGGAACAAATCACTTTTGCATGGATGCACATATGAACGACGGTTGCTGTAACAAAATTTCATCAAATCAGACAGTGACTACTCTTGTGTCAAAGACGGAATTCTTTATTTTTTTTTCAAAGATGGAACATTTAGAGAAAAAATAATTTTATTACAATAACAGTAACATTAAAAAACACGTGGAAATTATTACAAATTAGGATTAATTACTAATTACGAGAATGATTCTAATTCATAGAAATTTAATTTATATAAAATACATTAAACTAATCTCATAATTCTACATTTTATTATTAAAATAATTATTATTTTAATATAGCTATCTAAAAAAAAACTTATTTTACGTTAACGTTAAATTTGCTAAAAATGCAAAAATAAAGTATCTTTTGTCAAAAGTAGGTAGAAAATTTAAAATACACAACTTAAGTACGTCGTTAAATCATCCTAAAATTGGAATATTTCGTCTCTTATATTTATGATCAGGTAGACACAATCTACTGAAATTGAAACATTTTTACCAAAGAAATATCTTAGTCAGCAGAGTTTTGTGAAGTGGATGTTTTTATAAGGGAATATATTTTGCATTTAAAAAATTTTATTGCAGCTGTTGATGTAAGGGTAGTTAGAGAGCTCTACACATGGAATGCTAAACAATTCCGTCATTTAAAAAAAGTTAATTATTACCCTTAATAATATAGTTTAGCATTGTAAAATTTAGATATTCAAGTTGTTTAAAGTAAATTTTTATATGTACTTATAGATATATTTGACATAATTAAACTACTGATTCCAAATATTTATATTATGTGTGGTACTAAGAGATATCTATGAATTCTATACCCAAATTATACTTATTGTTTTTTATTTATATGTTCTCTATATCTTTATTAAGAGAGTTGTTCTCCATCCAATATTGCTATCATAAGATAATTACAATTGACATTATCGCAATAAATCCATACTAAACTAACCTGGAAGAAACTCTCATTTTCTTAGAGATCTTCTCATTGAAACCATCACCAAGTATATAAAAGTTAGGTAGTCTAAACTATTCAACAAAATAGATAGTCATTTCAATCAATCTTTAGCTTCATTTAGAAGAATTGTAACAACGGAGGAAAGATATGCTGACATTCGTTTTGTTTTACTTTAAAAAAGGGGGGATGTTACAGCAGAAGTGTTGCAGATAGCCGGGTTTTTTCTAGTATAGACAAAGTGAGGCGCATCCAGAAAAAAGTAATAAAGGTGCTATATAAAAAATCACAATTCATTAGTAATTTGAAATTTTTTATGTATTTTTATAACAGAATGCTGACAGCACTCCAATAATCAGGCAGAGAATAAAGTACTTTTATAAAATCAAAGATATATGGGTACGAACACAATACGCTTAAACCATTGATATTCTACGATTTAAAAAAAAAACCATTATTTTTATTAAAATAAGATTCGAAATTTATTCAGTTTAAAAAAAAATAACAATATCATCATGAATTAATTACTTAAGTCTTACATAGAAATTGTCATATTGCATATTAATTCATATCAATTACGAAATAAACACCTTCACCTCAGTTATGCATACAACTTATCTCAAAGATGCTTAACTTATCTCAAAGATATATAATATCTTATAACTAAGAACATCAAAAAAGCTAAAACAAAGGTTAACTACATTAAAAACGCAAAATAAAAATGAGCGATAATCTTCGTACAAAAATCTTTTTTTTTTTTTTTTTTCGATGAATACCGAAAACCGCAGATAGAGAACGATAATTTTCCGGTACATTATTACATATACAAATGAAAGTCTGTATACGAATAAAAGAAGAACGTGATGTATATAAATATATATTGATATAGAAAAAAACTACAACTACTTTAATAATATTAAAGTTCAAATGTTCAACAAAACTTTAAAAAAATATAAAAAGGGGAAATCACCGAAGTTGTCATTTAGAACTAACATCAAACTAATCAGTCTAAATGCCTACATATGTATACGAAAAGTATATATAAACGCAGCTACTAGAAACTTGATTTATATTCTTCTGTTTGTAGTGAAGATTCGGTTCTGAGAGTTTTGACATTATCTACTATTTATAAAACTAGAATTTTCTAAATGCTGATAACTGAAACCGAGGATATCTGTGCCATATATATGGTGTAATAGTCAATTTTTAATAAAAAAAATGCTCAAATAAAAAATGTCAAATCTTGTGAATGATTAATGGATGTAATTTATACAGACTGAGTCAGAAATGATATGTCACAGATGCTATAGCTATAAAGTAGAAAAAAAAACTATAATAATATCATTGCTTTAGAGCTACAAATATTACTAAGTATACTAAGTAGACAAACATATAAACTTGACAACTGAGAATTGCTGAGCTAGAAACTAAGTAGAAAGTATATAAATAGAAGACTTGAGAAAAAAAATTCTTGTGAATTCATCTTTTATGCTTTTCTTACTTTACCAAATTCCTTCCTCTATTTGTTTATTTATTTGGCTTCCACTCTTCGAGTTAAAATTACTTTATTTCTCGTTGGTGCAAGTTTTTTTTATAAATATTTTCTTACGTGTCTGTTTATGATTTAATGACCAACCATGACGTCTGAGTATTATTTTATGGTGTTGACAATCAACCTCAGACGTTTTTAAGGCAAAAACTTTTTATATCTTATCCTATGTCTATTATGTTGATGTTAAAAAGAAATATTTTTTCAATTTAATGTTACAGAGAAGTAATGAAATGAGAAAATCCAGCTTATGTTGTACATTCTATTCTTATAGATATAAACACATAAATATTTTATATATCAGCATTATCGCATTATTACAATTATTATAATGATTTCATATATTCTTCGAAATGAATAACTAACAATATTTTAATAGACAGAAGTAGATCTAGATCAGAACAAAGGCACATCATAGTATATATTAGACTTTATTTTATTGATATTATGATGCTAGGGTTAGTCGTATATAATTTAAAAATTATTTTTAGTACTACAAGACCAGAGTAAATGGTATAAACAAACATATTGATATAATTTTTTCATCTTTATATAATTTAATAACAATTTTTGGTTACTACAACTGTGGAAAAGTCAAGTTTTTATATATAACAGTCTTTACTACTAACACAATAGGTTAAATTAAATCACCTAGATGATATAAAGAGTTCCGTTGGCACCCATATATCTTGCAACACTAATCCGATTGTGTCAAACGACACGTGTCTGGAAAGTGGCAGTTGTGTAATTCGTTGGCTGTGTTAAGAATAATATTGATTTGAAAAAGAGGAAAATATCTGAAAAAATACGCTGCTATGTGATGCTTTATTCCTAAAAAAAAGGTAAAATCACTGCAAAATCATGCAAAAAAATATGTGCGGTTTATAGTAAGGTTGCTGAGAGGTTTGCTCGATTCCGTTCCGGAAATTACGATGTCAGAGATACACTTTGCTCTGGTCGGCCGATCACTGAAAACCCGATGAAATTTTGTAAATGGTGGAAAAAGACCGAAAGGCAAGCAATCTGCTAGGAGATCGAGGAGGCATTCAACATCAACCACATGACAGTTTGGAATTTAAAAAAAAGAAGCAGACTCACAAAGAAGCTAGATGTGTGGGTTCCACATAAATTAACGCAAAGAAATATGATTAATCGAATTGCCATAAATGAAACACTGCTGAATAGCAACGAAATGAAACCTTTTTTGAAGCGAATCATTACGGGTGATGAAAAATGGGTTAAACACGAGAATATCCAACGTAAGCGATCATGACCAAAGACTGGTGACCCTCCACAAAAGATTTCAAACCCTGGATTGACGCCAAAGAAAGTTTTGTTGAGTGTTTGGTGGAAAAATTGGAAAGGAATTGTCTATTACGACCTACTTCAACTTGGTAATAGAGCACTTAGAATTGACAAACAGAACAAGATTTGTGTTCCATTATATCAATATATATTGTGTGTATTGTTTCGGTGTTTGCAACACTTTTTCAACGGTAAATAACTGGCCAGCCGAACAACTGGAAATAACTTAGTCAAGTTTTTTTTCCAATAAATCATAGAACTTCTACATCAAAGAAATTATGACAACAGGTCATACATAAATACTTCATTAAAATTAATATTTAATAAAGAAAACTTTTCTTCAAAAATATTTAAAAAAGTAATCGTCGGTACTTTATATATCACCTAATATATATAGATACAATCAATAATATTTTAAATTTACAATACTTATAATGATAGATCAACATTCTCTTAAACAAGCTGACACGTCCTATCCCAGCTAAATATTACAAAGTAGTATTGAATTTTGAAATTATCTGCGTCATTTAGTGCATCATCAAACAACATATTAAAAACTGCTAATATCCAGTGACCAACAAACATTTACATCTTATGCAAATTGGTAACCGATCACATCACCAATCACATCAGACAAACCCATTTCGTTGATATATAAAAAATTTTGTACTTGTACAATTTTTAATTGATTACTTATTCACACAGTTTTATGGACTTCGTCCAAACTAATAATTGTTATGACCTATGAGTCATAATATAGTATTAGAAATTTCAGCAGTCCTTAGGGAACAGAGAAAGCGTTTTAAAATATGACCCTCAAATTAAAATTTCTAATAATGTTCGTATAAGATATGATAAAGGAGTGTTTGTTAACGTAAGGCCTCACGGAAAGGGTAATTCGAAATTACATGCAAATTGGTAATGTTTCGATCAACGAAGACCAGGAAGTCTCTCCCAACAAAATATAAATATGATTTATGAGAAAGGAAGAGGGATAATAATCGGCTACTGTGCTTGGCTGTCCGAATGTTTCATATTCATGTTAAGCAGAGGGTCTGAATGAAGCGCATCATATAATACGACAGTGAACCAAAGGTAACTCAAGGGAGCTCTTAACTGGGATGACCGAAACATCTCATAAATATTGATAAAAAAAAAGACTAGAACACTATATTTACAATAAAATTTACAAAAATAATACGAAAAAAATGTATGATGTATATATACTATATAATAATTCGCAAAATCGGTACTGCCTATCGAGATCAGCACTAGAAGTAATTAAAAGTCTAAACCTGAAACTTATAGATTTTAGCAAATTAATAAAAAAAGGAAACTGACAAATAACTAAATAAACATTTTATAAAAGACCAAAATAAAAACCAATTATTTTTAATATTAGTTACCATAATAAACATAAAAGGTTTTTAAAATTGTTGTAGTAAAAATTTTCTAAAACATATTTAATAAAATAAACCTCAGAATCCACATAATGTATCTAAAACTATAGGTTAATTTTTTTATAATTAAAATTATTATTAATTTTTTCTTTCACTTCTAGACACCGCGTACAATATAGAAGATTCAAAGATTTATAAATATTTTTATTTTTCAAAAAGATTATTAAGATTAAAATAATTTATTTATATAATATAAGTACTACAAAATCTTGAATGTAAATTAAGTCATAATCAACAGATGTTTTACATTCGAAATGATTTTATTTACGATTAGTTAAAAATCAATAATATAACCTAGAAAACCAATCTTTATACAAATATAATATTAAAATAGATTATTTTAAAAAAATAGATAAGTATAATCAAATCTACTATATTCATTTATATATAATTAATATATATAATTAAATATATAATTATATAATTGATTTATGGCCCTGACCATCCTCTGGGCGGCAAATAGGTTAATGACTTAGAGTAACGGGTAGTAATAAGGGAATGTCATATTTTCCTTCAACCAGACAGGCCTAAAAATAATTTTGTGTGCATGTAGAACTTAGGACACTTTATTAATGTAAAAACTTACTTTTCTGGTTGGATAGCAATTTTTTCATTAGAGATTAGACACAACACCTTTCTTTGAGAAAAATTATTGTAATAGAATATTGATCAACTGCTGGACTGTTATACTAAGCAAGCAAGAATATTTAAATATTTTATTGTCCATCTAACAAAGAATAAAATCTTCTTCATCATTAGAAATAAGCTGTATTTCCTACTAAGTTACCTAAAAGAACTTCTTAAAATTTGTTACTTATTCAACAACTTGGGTCTAAGACTAAAAGGTTATCTTTATCTCTGGAAACAGATGGAACCTTTAGACATAATAAATATGACTTACTCTGGATCAGTAAGATGTTAAGCTGAGATTTCTACAATGACCACAGAAGTAGATATTCAAATCAATCTAGCATTCAGCAATCCAATTAGGAACCAATTCAATAAGTAGCAGGAATTAGTGCACCTCTTCTGTGAGTAATGATACGAACTAAATGATCAACGGTATAATATTATTATTAGTGGATAATTAAGATATAAAGCTTTTTAACAATAGGCAATAATGGCCACGAATTGTCTTTATCAAATCCATGTTTTCCTGTTTGAAAAGCACAAAGGAAAGTAGATTGCTTTAAGCACACATAAAAACCCTAACACAGCGATCAGCAGCGCATAACAAATTTTCTATATATACTTTTATATTATTCATTAACCTATTTGTTCTGATGTACCTATGATATATATGATGACTGTGCGTATAAAAAATTATTATCAATCTATATATATGCGTAGATAAAAAAAAAATATGAAACGTTTATAGTTTTGTTTATCGACAAGCACTAAGCCATTGCGTAAACAAACTTTTATATCGCTAATTTTTCATTGTGTTGGTGTAGGATTTCATTATAAAAATATGTTATTATTGTCGTTTATTTTGATAGATTTCACTATCTACCGCTGATTTATAATATATCTTAGATTATCAATTCATATTTATATTTCTTTAGCTTCACGGACATAAAATTAAACAAAACTCGTACCAAATTATAAAGATATTTAAACGATATAATTTCAGTACTAAAACAAAATTATATAAATATAGCAGAGCTTAATCCGGATCCACTAAAGTTACTTTCAATTAGGATTATCAAAACATCCGGATTGTGTGAGTTTTTATTTATTTATTTATTTACAATAGCAACTGAATAAAAACTGGGCAATAACCCACAGCTTATTAAATTAAATCATACATTATTAAATAATTCTGACTTTATGTATAAATTACGTCAATAAAAATGTTAAATAAAATGTAAAAGCAAATAGCAAACGAAGCGTACAGGTAAATAAGACATTCATTATTGTGTGCATATAAAGCATAAATATAATTAATTTAACTGGACACTATCGAACAGAGATGTTATAACAATCCTACCCAGATTAGCAAATCAGTGTTTGATCCCGACTGCAAAGTACATAATGCAAATTTTTTATTTTATTTTTTGTCCAGAATGTTGAAGAATCCGGTTTACCGGAAACGCGTACAAAGGAAGATCTTACTATATATATTTATCATATAATAAAAAGAAATATTTAATTTAAAAATAATTGTAAAGTTGAGTAAACATTTGTAACACAAAAGATCAATCTGGTCG